TTTCTGTAAAAAAAAAAAAAAAAAAAAAAAAATTAAATGAAACATCATCTTCTAAAGTGTTTTTCAATTGTTCTCTGTTATATATATATATATAGTCTTCTTTTAAGAAATAACATTTGAAGGAGAATAAAATCGTTTGAACATCAAACTACATAAGAGAAAGTATCAAGGACAATTAAAGCGAAGGTCCGATCTCTATGAAAGTTTTCACGGAGAAACCGCTCTTGTGACACAGATATATCGCATCTCGCATCTTTATGGATTTCCGCGCGCGTTATCATTGTAACGATGGCGCAAATCCGTGAGCCAACGTGTAAGGTCTTAGCCTTGAGGAATAATTCGCGGAGAGAGATGTTTAAAGCTCCTTGATAAAAGGGCGGCATAGATACCACTGCCGTGATAATCAAGAGAGAAGAGAAAAATAAAGAGAGAGAGAGTAATAACGTCCGAGGTCTCTTTCTCTGACCGTTAATTATCGGATCTGAGTCTTAAGTTAAGTAAGCGCTGGTAATGCGATTATTCGCAGATTTAGTTAACGCAGATATCGCGTATATGTAGGAGTCGTCACCGCCCACGGGTGTAACGGCATTAGCGTGCGGATGTATATATACGTAACGTAACATCGCTATACAGGGTGTCCCAGAATTGCCGTACAATCGCTCGTAGGCAGGTAGAAGGAATAAAACTGAGTCGAAAAGTCCTAAATCATTTTTTTATATTATTTATAATAAAGAAGTAAATTATTGAGTAAATCAGGCCAATCAGCGCAAACCTTTAGCCAGGCACACGTCAGTGAGCGCTCACTCACACCAGGCGCGTGGCTAAAGATCGGCGCTGATTGGCCTGATTTACTCAATAATTTACTCCTTTATTATAAATAATAGAAAAAAATGCTTCAGGACTTTTCGACTCGGTTTTACTCCCTCTACCTGCCTACGAGAGATTGTACGGCAAAATCTGGGACACCCTGTATACATACCACCTGCGATGTATTGTTTTAACTTCTTCTTGTGGCGTGAATGTTTTAGCACACACATATTCTACGAATCCATTTGAATAATTACACCTGCGTACAGGCGAATATGGACTCGTATAATTTTGAAGTGCATATCGATTGTTCGAAGTGAATGTGGAGGGTCGCTGTCGACGACGATATATTGGTTACGACGCGAAAATTCAGAATCTAACCGAGAAACACCCGAATATATATATATATACGTAATACAGAAACGATAAAAGATATTTCAAACATTTGAATAAAAATAACAATACACAATTTGTTGAATAATAAATAAATTCAGAAATGTAACGAATGTAACAATTTTTTGCAGGGGTGTGGAGTAAACGTGGTTTTGCAAACGTGCGAACTACGACGTGTGTTGCAATAAAAAAACGATTGATTTATTATAGCGATTGATTGTTAAATAAAATTGTGTACTTACTAAAGGCAATCGCGTAGACGTTCGCAAAGGCGTTCTCGGCGTAGGCAATTCTACGACGATTTTCGGTGTTCTGCGTGTGGTATAACGATGTTCCTCTACTAATCGGAGCGGTATCGGCGAGGGAACGGAAATACTAAACGCTACACACGAGATACACCCTGTCGGAAAGAGAGAATTGTTTAAGTAATTGCAATATTATACATTAAAATTTTCTTATATATATATTAATTATATATTAATGTAAGAAGTTCTAAAACTAGATTCGCATAATATAGTTGAATCGAGTTTTTTCTAATTTGTTAGAAGAAAACGTGGAATAAAGCTTCCAATTTGTATTTAAAGTTCGAAAACAAATAAGAAAAAAAAATTAGCATTAAAGAACGTGCATTTAAAAAGTCATTATTTATAAGGTCGTTATTTAATTCCCAAGGTTTATATATATATATATATATATATCTTCTTTCTCTACTTAATCTAACTTTTTCTTAACTTTCTTCTTTTCTTAAAAATAAGACCGTTTCTTTTCACGGTATCGCAAATTGGATATAAAAAGTAGGGTCGAAAAACCTGAAATTTAATATTTCATGCGCGTATGTGAACACATTTTAGGTGTGTGTGTGTGTGTTCTTTTGTATACCCTATTAATTTATAAAACTTATTAGATTCTCGCGGTTGTATATGTGAAAAGCATGTCGTATTTTTTTTCCACAAATGTAACGTACGACAAACGCGAATGTCTATTTACAGAAGACTCTCTTTTTACGCCAATCGCAAAGAAAAATATCTCCAAAACCATTATTTCTCCACACGAAGCGGTTGTTTTTGTCTTCTTTTTCTTCCACGACTTTTATTTAAGTAGCACTTACAAGATGATACTCTAGTTGTGCAATTGAAAAGTTTGTATTAAAGTTAGTGTAGATTCTAAGAAAATATAATGTTATCTCTGTTATATGATTATGAGTTTACTCAGAACACATACACCCGCACACTTATATTACAAAAGCGTAAAAATGAGATTACATTTTTCCTGGAAAAACAGAGAGATCGCACACGCGCGTAACTTTGACAAAAAAAGTTTCTTTCGTTACCGAGTTTTACGTTTTTTTAATCATTTGATATAATCATTGCAGGTTGGAAGAATTTTTCTTATCGTTGTTACTTTGCTCTGTACAATTTTTTTTCTGATTGACGCTACAAATATTCATTAAAAAAAAAAAAAAATTCATTTGTAACTATTTTACGTAAGATCCTTTGTATTCGCACGACAACTCTCGATTCTTTCGAAAAATTTAATGACGCGATTCGATAATTCAAAGAAAGACGTTGTCGTCTCGCGACAAATATCAAAATCGCACTTGTTCCCCGACGTAGAAAAGAATCACACAAATTTTTTCTTGCGAGAGAAAACTCACACAGTAGAAAAATCGCTCTGCGGTATTCGCCCCGACGTGCCATAACGTTTGCCACTGATGTTGCCGTCGTTCTGCTGGTGCGCACTCTTGACAATCGACTGACAGAACGGAAGAACCGGATGATATTTTTGGTACACGGAAATATAAGATCGCGACCAAAAGAGGAGAGAGAGAGAAAGAGAGAGAGAGAGACGTGTGTGTCAGGACGGTTGCTCAGTGGCGATGTTCGCGAGGCTTGTGAGAAGAGAAAGCTCGAGGGTGCGGATGGATCGATAGCACGGCTTTCAGCATGCGCCCGCCGTTCTGTATATACGTGTGTGTGTGTATATATATATACGGTGGTGGAAAAAGCACGAATGACGGTGCTAAAGTGTCCTCGATGACGTCGTTGCCCAGCGTCGAACATCAAACGCCACGAGCTTTTCCATTCATATTGCGTCACAATTTAGCTCAGTAATTTTTTTTTTTATTACGGTGGCGCGTGACTCAAATAAAAATTTGGTCACTTCCTATTTACTCTAGCAGGAAACTATAAGTTTTTAAAGAATGTTGATTTATTTTTAATTTAATTTCGTTTTGTTATTTATTTTGTTAGAAAATTACGTTTATATTCTTGTCTATATTTTCGGTTTTCGAAGTTTGTTAAAGTTTTTTATTTAAAATGTTCGATTTTTTGTTGTTTTATTTTACAAATTTTGTGGAACAATATATAGTATACACACGCACGTATATATATATATATATATTATAAAAGCAATATTTGTCTTTTCAGAAAAAAATATATTTAAAACATATATCTTCAGACAGATTATTTTTAAAGAAAAAACAATCAGAAAAGTTTAACAATCCGGGAAAAAATGGATTAGATCTAACTTAAAAATTTAACAAGATAAAAAAAAATGAAAAAATAGATCTAATTAGATCCAAACTAAATCCAAATAGATATAAGGTAGATCTAAATAAATAAAGAAGTAGATCCCTCTTATGTAAATTTACACTTTTATATATTATTAAATCTATATATCGTATATCTATATCGTATATCTATTTAGATATTACTTTATATCTATTTAGATTTAATTTGGATCTAATTAGATCCATTTTTTCATTTTTTTTTATCTCGTTAGATTTAAATTAGATCTAATCCGTTGTTTCTCGCGAAGAAGAATTAAGAGTGTGACAACTCTTTAATTTTCCAGCGTATTTATTCGCGTAAAGCTCGCTGGAAAAAAAAAAAAAAAAAAAAAGAAACAACGCAATTTTGACAAAGAAACTTGCGAACTTCATTTCAGCGAGTAGTGTAGTTCGAAACTTTTCTGATCACAAACCGTCGATGTTGCGTATAATACTCAGGCGCAAGGTCCGACAATAATAACTTTTGATGCTTTTTCATTCCCGATGCGGATAAGAAATGCATCCGGTTGCAACTTGGTGATGCAACGCTGCGTATCTCAATGTGTAAAAATAAAGAAAACAAAAAAAAAAAAAATTTTTAATCAGTCACGAACAGCTCTTGTGCGATACGACTTGTGTAACATCTTAATATGTATCGTCATTTATATCTTGTTTGTACGACGAATTGTCAGAACAGCACAATTCTGTAAGTTAACATATTAATATAAAACAGTAAATGTATAATGGCCATTTGAAGCAAAAACACTGGTGATAACGTGTGTATGATAGATGCATTACTTTATTCAAGCAGGTAACATATAGAACGTTTTCGGCCTTAGATTAGGCCTTTATCAATATATATCTACAAAATACAATTTAATTGTTAGATTCATAAAATTTTTAAATTAACAACTTACAGAACAATGCAGATGGAAATTATCACATGATTACGCACATAATTATGATGTTCTTGAATTAAAACTTTAACATATTAATTTTACAATAAAGCGTATTTACGTTTAAAAAAATCTTAATATTTTGCGATATATTGTTTTTATATTGTATTTTTGTAGAATTTGATAAAGACCGAGAAATCGAAGGTCGAAACGTTATTATACACATCATTGAATAATTATATAACATCATTGAATAAATAATATCACCTTCACATATTCGCACACCAACACCCCGTGTCTTTGGCTCCAACTGCCTGTCACTTTGAAATGAACAAATCTTCGGAGCTATTTGTCCTTTCTTTGAATTATAAAAATTACAAGACAATATATACGGAAATCGACGAATAAAAAATTGACATTTTGTTAATTCAACAGTTTTTTTTTTATTTCGGCGTCTGAGAAAGTTTGACAAATCGCATCGATAAAAATCTGCTTTCGAATTCGACGTGACTACACACGGTTTACCAAAAAACTATATATACACACTTTGGACTTTCGTAACATAAGCAGTGTATGCAAATTGTGTGCATAATATAAACAACAACATAGCAAATTATATTTACAAAACGCTCTGATGTGTCGCTCATTTATATATTATTTACATTTTACTTATACATCCAGGGTGATTAATGCGGCGAGTTTTATTTGCGGTTATATTGAAATATACATCGCGCACAACACACACACACACACATATTGATCAGTTTGATTTAAATTAAAAAAAAAAAAAAAAACAAACAAACTAGAATAATAAATCTAAGCGAAATTCTAATAAAATAAATTTTACATAAAGTGTTGTAGCTGTGTTATATCAATCTGAAGCTATATAGTTTTTCTTCTTTTTATCGTTTACACGTGCTGTTTATTTATGAAAACCCATTGAGTCGCGAAATATAACAATAAAATATCTGACGAATGTATAAATATCGCACGTAACTAACAATTTTTCTTTTGATAAAAATAACATCGGAGATAAATATATTTTCACATTACAACAAAACACCGAAGAAGTTTCGCGCACAGTGAAAATATTATTTAATTTTAAGAGTAGTAAAGTTGCCGATAATCGCGCTATCGATAGAGATGACTCCATTTCATCGAGGAATCTTGCGCAAAGCTTTTATTTTCGCTGATTTCTCGTCGAAGATATTTATCTTTGGATTTATCTTGGGATTTTGCAGCGATTTTCGATTGGTGTGCGATATACGTATATATATATATATGATATAAAGCAAGAAAAAAATGCGCGTGGCATTTACGTGACTACTAGAAGCACCGAGATGAGATTGTGCGCCGAATAGAATAAGATAGGGTTAACGCTTTGCTAAAGTATAAAACGCGCGCCCACGCGAACACAAGCTCGCCCACGCGAAATTCGATTGGCGAAGTTCCATTCGTATAAACCCGTAGTGTGAGAGATATTGCTAATGATCGCGTTGATAATTATTATTACGCGTGATTTTCCACTATGCAACGTATGCTAATAATTTAAACTAGCGCGTTTGATTGGTGGATTGCCTGCGAGCGTCAAAAAATTGATCAATCGTGATTTGAAAATCAAGAAAAATTATAAAATCATCGTGAAGCTCGCACGCGAGTACAAGAGCATCGTGCGCCGCTGGCTTTGCTTATGTTATTGGAGATGTGCGTTACTCGTTTATATTGCACTTTATTAAGTTGCACTATAATATAATATCTCAATAATATCAATGAGGGGTGCAAAAATGTTTGTTACAAATAACAATGAATTAATTGCTTAAAATTTTTGTGACAATTTTTTGTTATTGGTTTTTTAATTTTTTTCAAAAATAACACACACATGTGTAGATAATTATATAATAATTATATAATAATATGTGTATATATATTTCAAAAATATAGAGAAAATATATAGGGAATTACTTGTACATGTATTAAGATATCATAAGTCGGTAGAATTGAGTCCTACATATCGTTGTACAAAAAAAAGACAAGTAAGGCCTGGTTTATGCGGGCAAATAAGGCCTTGTTTTGGCCTTGTTTATGCGGGTAATAACTGTTAATTTATGCCAGAATTAGTACAGTTCAACTATAGGATTTCAATGCTTCTGTTATATTTTGTTATGCTTCTGTTAATAAACAGAAATATTAAAATCTTAGGCTCGCATAAACCAGGCCTAAGGGCCATTAAGAGCCGTCTACAATGGAGAGTTGTAGGCCGTAATAGTAAGAAATTGACCAATCACAGGCAAAGTACAGAAGAATAATCGATTGTGATTAGTCAATTTCTTACTATTACGGCCTACAACTCTCCATTGTAGACGGCTCTTAATGGTCCTTACGGGGTACGTTCCAAAATCCTACCTTGGTTACTAGAATGCTATATTTCACGTCACGTGTACTATAGTTTTTGGTAATCAAAGTAGGATTTTGGAACATACCCACGACGGTTTCAGCCGCTGGTTTAAGCCGTATTTCCACAAAAGTGGAACTCAAAGGCCGTTCTCAATGAAACTCAAGTCGGAGGTCTCGTGGAACTGATCAATCACGTTGGTCGATTGGCTGATTTGACTCTGCAATTGGTCAATTCCACGAGATCTGCTACTTGCGTTTAATCGCATGTTATAAAGTGTTTACCACTTGTTAACATACGTATTATATAATATTATATATAATATATTAATATAAAGAGAAACTACTAGTTACTTACTTATAATA